AACCCATCGAAACTGTCGAAACAATTTCTGAAAAGTTTCGACTTTTGCCAAAATGGGTTTAGGGTTTTGCCCCGCAACTATAGTCCAAAAGTAAATTGTGTCCAGAAAATCTGCGAAGAAATATATTGTAACTTGTATATGAAATAAATTTTTATTATTCAGGTTAAAATGAAATATATTTATGGTAATTATTCAAATTATGTTATAGGATAAATATGTATAGATAGAATGCATTAAAAAAAAATATATATATTTCGCAATTAGCATAAGTATATTTATTATTATATTTATTTCTTTGATTAACTTTTTCTTTTTTTTTTACTTCTTATTATCCTTCATTGAGGAAAAAATGTTATTACAATAAATCATTTAAACGTTTTGGATTCATTTGAAGATTATGTCTCATTTTTACCATGTTTGTTAAATATTGATGGAGTAGGAATGTTATAAAGCATTTCCTAATTTAACAATGTACAGTATCCATTTAAATAATCAACTTCTATTGCCAGATTTCTTTTGATAGATTGTAATGATAAAGATTCATAATGACCGAGTTTTTATGAAGATTTGAAACGCGGCATCAATCAATCTATCGGTGGCAAATCTGTTCGTCGGTGTCATCCCAAGACTTTCTCTGGTGTTTCCTGTTGACCATAGAAAATTCTGCGCAAATTGGTCTTATAACACGATCGGCCATCTTGTTAAATAATAATGCCTATTACGCATTAAATAAATTGATGTAAGTGGATCAATCACTGAATTCAATGCATGGTTCTCAGTTTACGATTAACTATGTTTGAATAATTAACATTGCTTGCATTAAGTTCTGGAATTTCAATAAATTCTTTGATCACCGAATATAAGGTATCTATGCTTAAATCTAATGGTCCTACTCGGTCCGGTCTAAGCCGGTCCTGGTCTTTGTAGAACGGACCGTGGTCTCTGGCGCAGTAAAACCGATAATAAGACCGATCGAAAGACCATCAGTTCTACATTTCGGTCTTATATATAAATATAATTTTCTACTTTTTTTATAGGTTCTTTCGGTAGCCGATTACGGTAAGCTTGTTTCATTTTTTTCGTTTATTTTGTTTTCTCCGCTTCGTTACTTCAAAATTCTAACAATTTCCTCTTAATTTTTTATTTAGAACTTCATGCTCTTTCGATTTGGCTCCTTAGGCGATTACGGATAGGTCGTTTTTATTACTCTTTCTTTTGTCCGCTTCTTTTTTTTTTTGTTTTTCCTTCATTTCTTTAACATTTCTAGCATTTTTCTTTCTTATTTTAGATCATTGTTTCGACGGTCCTGGTTTGTCGATTTTTTGGTTCACGTAACATTGAAAATTTAAAATCGACCCGGAGACCCGGAGTTTATTAATGATTATTTTTTATTAATAAAAAAGTTTATATACAAATATTATGCCATCTATTGGTCAGTCTTTAAGGGACATGGACGTGCAAAGTAAATTTTCAGACTTTGTGACCCGGTTTACGAAATTTCTGGATTTTTTTTTTTTTTATAGTAAAATTTTTATCATGTGACATATAATAAATCGGCATATCAGATTTTGTTTAAAAGAAGGCGGCGAAGAAAGGATTACATAGATTTATCTTTATTTGTGTGATATATAATATAACAATACATATAACAATACATATAAAAAAAACTTACATATGAAAAAAAAACCCTCCGGTGTGACCGTAAAATTTTAAAAATTTTCTTTGTCCGGCCTAATCATATGACAATCACATTTCATTTCAAAATCATCCGTCAAAATGCCTATTATGAAAGATTTTTGGAAATATATCGATTCTATATTTATCATCTGACTGATGGGAGACAGATTTTGAAGTGAAGTTAAGCCCATCAAAAACATTAGTTGGAGAAAAAATTTCAGCACAATGTATTGCTTTGGAAGTTGCATGAAACTAATGAGTGGTAAGAAAGGAATTATAAATAAATTACACTTTATAGTTACATGATAAACTTTTTATAAATATAAACTTTTTGTTAAAATTTGAAAAAGAGACCCGGCCGAGTAACGTGAACCGAAAAATCGAAGTTGCATGGCCTTATGGTACGCTTGTTTCGTTATTTCTTTCGTTTTCCGTCGAGCTTCTTTTACATTTCTAACATTCCTCATCTTCGTTTCGTTTTTTTACTATTACTCTTTCTTTTTTTAGGTAGGTCTCGGCTATTCTGGTTCTTGTTTCTCAGGCTATTAGGTAACTTTGCTTCAGTTTGTACCGAAAGAATGAAGTTCTAAAAAATGTAAGAGGGAAGAATTGATGTATAATTACATAATTATGTTGATCAGTCTTATTTGTCTATCACATAATTATGGAAGCGTATAACTGCGGTCCTACCGGTCCTACGCGGTCCGTCTTTTTGAGGTGTAGGATCGAGGTCCTCCGGGACATTTGACCATATTTACTTAATCATTATAATCATCACCATCTGCCGTCGTCGATGTCGTTGTAGTCGTCGTCATCATGGTAGTAACATCTCAGTTTACCAAGATTCTTCAGGTTGTAAATTTGCATCGATTTTCTTTTCTTCGGTTTTATAAATCGCCTAGGAATAACCCCAAGGGCGATTTCACCAAATCCGGAATGTATTAATTTAAATTGAGTACCAAAACCGATTAAAAGATTTGGTCTAATGGCTTCATCAAAATTATAGGTCTTCATTAATTCTTCATAAGTTCCCAATCCATAAGTGAATAAGATAATGGTACTCATTGGTGATAAACGATGAAAGATCCTTTGATATTATTTACTTAATTCGTGAGATTTAATCGTGACGATAAGTCTCCTGATACGTAGATGCATGATTCATATTTTGTAACATTTCATTTCGACAGAACGTGAACATATTTTTGGTCAAGCATTATGACTACGTTTTATATTGTTAGGTCAAGCATCATGACTGCAATTAAGACATGTATAATTACGCAGATTCCAACATGCGAAATTGTAGGGCAAGTATTTCGACTACACACAAAAAAACAAAAAAAATTACAAAAAAAAAAATCACAAAAGATAAACAATTGTGAAAGAAACCTTTAAGTCATGATATGCACAGAACGCAGCAGGGATCATAATAAATTAGAAATTATTGTTACAAGTGTAGTTGTTTGGGGCAGAGAAGAAAAAGTAATGTTTAGTAGCATAGGTTTCAAGAATAAAATGACATTAAACATCTTATTTTTTCAAACTTCAAGTAGCATTATTAATATCTGTTACCAGTAAAATATGCATAGTATATATTTATTAATTTATATTTGCAATGGAGATTTCTTAGTATTGCTTTTTTGAAAAATCAAATCATGCATAAAGTTTTATTTAAGGAATGTTTAACGAAAATTTATGAAATTTGTAAGAACCTTTAAAAATATATATTCAAAACAAAGTGGACTTCAGATATTGAATTAACTAAATAAATAGTTTTCTTCTAATTACTTTATCTCAAGAAAGATTGTACTTTATTTATTTTATTTACATTTTTGTTGTCTTCGTTTATTTTTGTCATCGAAGTAAAACCCAAGCGTTTTTATAATAATGAGGTTTAAATTTACTTCTCATTAGTACTAATATTCTATAAATCATCCATAGTAGTGATTTTTATTTTTGTAATTTATTAACGTCATCTATGCACTATATCAAAGGTGACCTTAAAATCATGGAACAATAGAAATTATTATTTTATATTCTTGAAGAATAACAAATCTTTGATCATTAGTGACAAAAACAAGTATATGTAGATCCAATATAAGAGATAATTATGACCAATAAGAATCAGAAGTTATTGAAAAAAGTGCAAAGCAATTAAGAAAACTCAAATATAATGACCATATAATTGCATAATAATATTTTCTGAATTTTATTCATATAATTAATCTTTGGATTTGAAAAAAAAAAGGTAATAAATGATGTTTTATTATAGTATCTTGAAATAAAATCAGAATATTTGTAATTTAAATATGAAATATTATTACATATTATTGATAGTATATAAATATTACTTTGTGAGTTTTAATTAAAAGTTTCAATAGTCTTGTTAAAAACCTTTTCTAATAAATCTATATTATTTTGCTTAATTGCTAATTTAAATAATTTTTCTCCATATAAGTAAAATAATACTTAGGGTTTAATAGATAATTAATCCATTGATTTTTTAATCTATCATTACCAAATGGCTGGTCAATCTGATTTTGTTAAATTGAATTTAAGTTTATCTATATCATTTTCAGATAGATCAACAATTTCAGCAATATCTGAATAATCCAATATGCGATTATTATAATGCTTAATTGCATATTTTAAAAATCTAAGATTATAATTATGTATTTAAAATTCTTTAGATCTCAAATTAAAGGTATAAAATAAATAATACTTTCTTATTATATATAATACATGAATTATTAATTATCTGATGTTTCCATTTTCTAAATTCAATATGATCAAAGCTATTTAAAATTTTTTCATTTTTAATCACAACTTTTAAAACTATTGTATTTTGACTTCCTTCTATTGATACAAAGCTATATCTAGTATTCTGCAAAATCAGATTAGATCAGATTTGGATAAAATCTAATCTGATCTGATTTTCATTTTTCAGAATCCGAATTCGATCTAAATCTGATCTGAATCTGATAGATTTGTTAAAATTCAGATCTAATCTGAATCTGACAGATTGAATCTTAAATTCAGATCTAACAGATCAGTTTAAATCCAAATCTAATCTGATCCAGATCTGAAATTTTTATTGAAAAATGATTTTTCAGTTTTAAAAGAGTTCTAAAAAGTCGTTCTTTTTTAATAAAAGGAAATGAATTTTCAGTTTTAAGAGATTCAAAAATTTTTTCTTTTAATTAAAAGAACCTTTTTGGCTCTAAAAGAGTTCTGAAAAGTCATTCCTTTATAATAAAAGGAATCTTTTCAGCTCTAAAAAGATCTGAAAAGTCATTCCTTTTTAATGAAAGGAAACAAATTTTCAGTTCTAAGTGGTCTGAAAATGTTTTCTTTTAATGAAAGGAACCTTTTCAACTCTAAAAAACTCTGAATTCTTATTTTTCAGTTTTAAAAATGTTTAATCTAATTTAATAAAATTTTATGCAATATACAATAATTAAATTTTATTTCATAAATTTTATTATTATAAATA